TGTTGTATACACTCACTTAATACTAATGATATGTGTGAGGGAAAATGTTGTATACATTCACTTAGTACTAACGATATGTGTCTGAGGGAAAATGTTGTATACGTTCACTTAGTACTAACGACATGTGTGAGAAGAAATGTTGTATACATTCACTTAGTACTAACGACATGTGTGAGGAGAAATGTTGTATACTAGTATCATTAGAAGTGATTTTACAATTAACTATAAACTATCAAATCGTCGCATGAAACCGGAAGTCAACTTTAAACTTACAAACCATACTATAAAAAATACGGCAAAACCTGTTCAATTTCTCTAATAAATGGACTTTCGTCTTAGTCACTGACGTTGCGCTATTTTTTATCAATCAGAACATATTCACATCTTTAAAAAAAAGAAGAACCCTAAATAGCCGCGGCACCTAAAATTCTTTTAGGCAGGATTAGAGTAAATTAATCTATGAGACATTTTTTTCCTTTGTATCAGCTATATTTGTTGCGCCAGCAATACTAAGCGTGGGGTGTGCGTATACCCGATTAAATTATATTATTCATCAAGATCTCTACCAGCCTACTCTCAAATTGAAACTTGTTTTAGGCAGGATTAGAGTAAATTATGATTAATTTATGAGACCTTGGGCGTGATCAAATAAATCAATCCCAAGGGTTTCCCTCCTGAGTCCAAAACTGTAATTGGATCTCAATTCGGTCAAGAGATGACGGAGCTATGAGCTAAAAGTTTGAACTTGAAAAAAAAAAAAACTCAAAGCCGTTCTACGAGCCGTTATGCCGCGGCTAAAAAACAAGTACATTTTTTATGTATCCATTGAACATAATGGATAATGAAGCTTAAAAATTCGAAATGTTATATGACATTGTCGGTAGACAAAGGGCATCTATCCCCCAACGGGGGCAAACACAGTTTCATACGGCCATGAGTATTTAATAACAACAATGATATATATCTGTACGTACAATAACAAGTTAGCAAACATTACAGTTTAATAAGCTAATTTTTTCATAAAGATTTAACATAATCTCTGAATGAATAAGTTGATCGTAATTAATTGTTCCCTTCACATTATCCTTTTCTGGTTCATTTACGTTCTTGGAAAAACATAGTATTCTTTCTTACCTGGGACTTCCAAGAGTTTCTTGTAGATAGCCAAAAAGGCTGCTTCTGCTGTTTTACTTCTTTTACATAAGTTGTCGATCTCACTCTGGAAGCTCTTCAGCAAGGGAGCCACAATCTTCCTGATGTCCTGTGCAAAGAAGACATTGTTCTTACTACATCTCTTTTGATGTACAAAAAACATACTTCTCTCCTAGTTTTATAAAAGAGGTTGGGAGATTGTGAAGTTGCGAATTAGAAGAAACATGGTCAGGGTATCAAGACACGCGGTAGTGTGTCGTGCGGCCAAAACAACCTGCTGCAGGATACACTATGTGTTTTCAACAGGAGTGATAGTTTAGCAGTTTTCCACTTTCTGTAGCTCGAATTGCGGTACTCCAAACTATCACATATTTTCAGTGGATGTGCTCTACTGGACTGTTACTTCACATACCAAATTTCAAGGTAATCCATTAAGAAATACCCGAGATATAAAAGCTCCAATTGTAATTGAATTTCTTCCTCTTTTTTTTTTTCTTCGCACCGGACCCCCCCCCCCCCCACCTTCCTACGATAAAGACAGAGAACTGTGGATACTGACGCTACAAGAATCCAGAGTTGTGAATTAGAAGGAACATCGTCAGGGTATATGATAAGGAAGGACAGAAAACTGTGAATATTTAAGATGTAAGATTGCGGAGTTGTGAATAAGAGGGAGGTAATAACGGTATACAGGTTGACCATCACTAGTCCGACAATCAGTAATCCGGCACTAATTTCGGCTAGAACAATTTCAAATACAGTAAAGCAAGATACGCGCTATTAGGTAAATACTTTAGTCTCGCTTGAAAGTTTTTTCCAATATTTTCTTTGATTAAAACTTAAAGAAAACCCCGTTTTCTTTAAGTTGGCTGGCCGCTACGATTTGGTGGCGCTGTTTGCAGTATCAACAAACTGGAGTCAGCTGTAAACACAGGTAAGCTTTTCCTGTTTGATTTTTAACATTTATTACTGTAAGAAGGTCATTTTTAGCCCCAATCATGGCTTCAATGAATAATAGAAGTGCTTCTTGTGATGTAAAGCGCAAACACCGAACATTGTCCATAGCAGAAAAGGTTGAACTCTTGAAAAAACTTGACGGTGGCGTGTCTGTTAGAATTTTATGTGAATTATACAGTGTTGGGTCTTCGACAGTTTACGACATAAAGAAACAGAAAAAAAAAAGTTACTTAAATTTTGTGTTGACAGTGAGTCGAAAAAACAGATGTTTAAAAAAAAACAATGAAACCTGGTAAAAGTGCAGAACTAGATCAAGTAATGATGAGGTGGTTTAAGTTGCGTGAAAGTGAAGGAGTCGACCTGTCAGGTGATCTTGTGAAGGAACAAGCAAAACTATTTCATGAAGAACTCGGACTGGAACATCAGTGCGATTACAGTGAAGGATGGTTGCAGCGTTTTAAGGAACGACATGGCTTAAAAGTTTCGTGCAGTGTGTGGCGAAAAAAAGATCAGCTGACAAGGAAGCAGCTGCAAAATTTGTTGACGAGTTCACCAAGTTGGTCAGTGATAAAAATTTAAGTCCTGACCAGGTCTATAACGCAGATGAGACTGCACTCTTTTGGAAATTTACACCCAAAAGAACACTGAAATCGGAGGATACAGAATCGCCGACAGGTTATAAAGCATCGAAAGATCGTGTTACTGTGCTGGGCTGCTCCAATGCTGCAGGAACACACAGGTGTAAGTTGCTGGTCATCGGTAAAAGTTTACGTCCTCGAGCTTTCAAAGGTATGACACATTTTCTTGTAAATTACCGTGCCAATAAAAAAGGTTGGATAACAACTGAACTGTTATTGGATTGGTTTCAGAACTGCTTTGTCCCAGAAGCAAGAGTTCATTGTGACTCTGTTGGCTTGGACCGTAACTGTAAGATAATGCTTATTTTAGATAACTGCTCCGCTCATCCAAAAGCAGAACTCCTGGTAAAGAACAATGTTTTCGGTATCTATCTTCCACCTAACTGCACTTCATTGATTCAACCCCTGGACAATGGCATATTACGTTCATTAAAGTCGAAATATCGCACACATTTTATGAGGCGCCTGCTGAGTGAAGTTAATCCTGGGAAGCCTGTACGTGAGTTTATTCGTGAATATAATATGAGAGATGTGGTTTACTGTGTTGCTAATGCTTGGAAATCTGTAGAGCCAGCCACACTGAAACATGGATGGCACAAATTGTGGCCAGGGTTAACATATGAGACAGCACCTGATGAAGATCGTGAACCAAACTTTATAGGAATTAGGCTTTCAATCCTGCTGCGAAGGATCTTGTATCTAGACTGGATGAAGATAACATTGAAGAATGGATGACTGTTAATGACGATGCACCTGTTGTTCATCATTATACGGACTCAGAAATTGTACGAATGGTTGTAAGTCCAGAGCAACAAGCCAGTGAAGGAGAAAGTAGTGATGGAAGTGAGGATGATGTAGCAGAAAGAGTTTCTATTGGTCGGTTAATTCAGGTGACAGGTAAACTGCTGAAAGATTTAGAGCAGCGCAGTTTTATAAATGAGCAAGAAATAATGAATACTTACATGCTGCAGGATAAACTAATAAAAAATTCAGTGCCTTCAACATCTGCTCACCCAGATGCTAATCCTGACATCTCCTCATCACATGCACATCCACTGCCTTCAACAGCTGCTCACCCAGTTATGTTGCCACCGTCACCATCAGTTCCTGATATCTCACTCACCTTAGAAGATGATGATGAGAATCCTGACAGCCCTCCACCTCAAGACATGTAAATGCCACTTTGGAAGTGGCAGTGATGATATAGTGTAAGACAACAGAATTAATTTATGTCAACAGATCTGAAGATAAAGAAATTACATTAGTTCTTTATGTAAACAGATCTGAAGATCAAACTTTGAAATTACATTAGTTCTTTATGTCAACAGATCTGAAGATAAAACTCTGAAATTACATTAGTTCTTTATATCAACAGATCTGAAGATAAAGAAATTACATTAGTTATTTATGTAAACAGATCTGAAGATAAAGAAATTACATTAGTTCTTTATGTCAACAGATCTGAAGATAAAGAAATTACATTAGTTCTTTATGTCAACAGATCTGAAGATAAAGAAATTACATTAGTTCTTTATGTCAACAGATCTGAAGATAAAACTATGAAATTACAAAATAAGGACGAGGCATTTATTTTCTGCCTTAATATCCACTGATATCCTTATTACGCTCCTTCTAATTTACAACTCCGCAATCTTTTAGTCTGGATAATCGCACTTCTATCTTTATTATACAGGTTGACTATCACTAATCCGGCATCATCGGGACCTGGAGGGTGCCGGATTAGCCATCTATTAGGTTAGAATACACCAAACCCACTAGCTAACCACCTCATCTTAAAATTAAAATATCCCATAAAACAGTACAAGTTGATTAATAAAGAAAAGATAATTATCAAGTAAATTCAAGTGAAACATTTAATGAAATACAGACACAGGTACACTAGAATTAGTTCTTTATGTAAACAGATCTGAAGATAAAACTCTGAAATTACATTAGTTCTTTACTGAATCTTGCACCAAATACCTTTATTGGTTCTTTTTAAGAGTTTTCATTAGATGTACGTACTACCAACTGTCGACTGTTAATAATCTTCGCGGGATTTATATAACACACGCTGTTTATTTCCTACCTGTATTGCTGTATTAGAAGATTCTTTATTGAATATAATGGCATACGTGATCTTTTTGTAAGAATTGTTTTCTTGTATCGGAAGATGTGTTTGGTAATTAAAATATATGATTGTCGTACAAAATACGATAATTTGTACATTTCTAGAACTAAGTGCCAACAACCAGATTGAACATAATATTGACTTGAAACTGTATAATCCAGTAACTGTCTCTACATTAAGATTCTTGTGAAGGTGACTGTCAGATTTCCTTTCTGGTACAGTCTGTTCTGCATTGGGTGTTTGTTCAGTGTTTAATGAAATTATCACATTCAAATTGATCTGATTCGATCTGCGATTGTTTTGGGGGCTTTTCTGATAATTGTAACAGCATTTTAAGTTGAGCGTACATATAAATAAATAGTTCTCTCAACTCACTCAACTGGGAGGAACGTGCTTTAACATCCATAAGTGGTAAAACAATTAAAAACCTTACTCCATAAAAATATACATCTTTTTTGTTGTTGTTGTTGTTCTCTAACACAAATAAACATGCCTATATTTCCTTTTTACACAAGTCTACATCTCTCCAACTTCATTAACACAAACTTACCTCTCTCCAAGATATTTTACAAAAGTAATCCTCTTCCACTTGTTTTACACAACTTAACCTCTCTCCAACTTCTTTTATTCGATTGTATCTCTCTCCAACTTCTTGTACTCATGCTTAACTGTTTCCAACTTGTTCTCGCACGCTTACCTCTCTCCAAGTTATTTCACAGAAATGTACCTCTCTCCAACTTTGTTTACACAAGTTTACCCCTCTCCAAGTTATTTCACAAAAGTGTACCTCTCTCCAACTTTGTTTACACAAGTTTACCCATCTCCAAGTTATTTCACAGAAGTGTACCTCTCTCCAACTTTGTTTACACAAGTTTACCCATCTCCAAGTTATTTCACAGAAGTGTACCTCTCTCCAACTTTGTTTACACAAGTTTACCCCTCTCCAAGTTATTTCACAGAAGTGTACCTCTCTCCAACTTCTTTTACTAATGTTAACCTTTCTTTAACTTTTACACAAGTTTACCTGTCTCCAACTTGTTCTACGCACGCTTACTTTTTCCAAGTTATTTTACACAAGCTTAACTTTCTTCAACTAGAAACCGGGTTTCGATACCCGTGGTGGGCAGAGCACAGATAGTCCTTTGTGTAGCTTTGTGCTTAACTACAAACAGCTAACAATCCGGTCCAGGAACAAAAGCGAACGGGTTATTATTACAGACTTGACCGAAGGATCTTTGTAATTCGAGAAGAAATGTTTGAAGTAAGCGAACAAAGAAATAAAAATGGTTTTCTCTTATTTTGTATCTGCTTATGTATGTGTGCATAAGAGAGAAACGAATTCGATTTTGTACAGTCATAAGCTCATGTATTGACAGAAACTTGAGGTGAATAGATTCAACTGTATTGGTGTAAACACAAAAAAGTGGATCTATGACACACACACACACAAGGTCGCGTGGTGAATTGTAGGAGTTACGTTCCTTTATTACCATACAAATGAAGCCAATATTAGGCACTTTCGGTGTGTATGAGTATGTGTTTATTACTCCACGTTTCACTCTCGTTTAGGCTAACTTTTTGACGTGAAGCTAATGTCCCTTGAAAACAAAAATGATGGGCAGGTATATATTTTATTTAGAAGACGTTGAAGGGACGTAAATGTGTGTAAAGTTTGAAAGAGGTTAACGTGTGTAAAAGAAGCGTTGTAAGTCCGCAGATATACCGCTGTGCCACTGGAGGGGGGGGGTAATTGTTAGCTTTCAAGACAGTTTGGTTTGTTTCGAATGGTTGTGCAAAGCTATCCAAAGGTTACTTGCACTAGCTGTCACTTTTGAACTGATAGAGGTAAACATCACCTACCGGCAACTCTTGGATTACTGTAAACGAATAGCGGGATTTGTCTGTCACTCTTATAACGCATCCACGGCCCTAAAGAGCGGAGTGCACTTTTGCGAAAACGGAACGCTAATCATGGCCCTGCACGCTAAGTATTAGGCTATGCTTCGCCCATGTGCCGTACTGTAAATTCAAGAGTTCATTGTCTGCGTCTCGTTGCCGCAAAATCGCGCTCTACACTTTAGGCTCATGGTTGGATAGACGATCAAATACTAGTAGCCGATTATAGCAGCCCAAGAGTCGGAGACAGGTGCTATTTTCCCACTGGTCTATAAGTTCGAAATTAAAAATGGCTAGAGTATATATTGTGTAGCTTTGCGCGAACATCCGAAACAAACAAACACATTTGTTCCACATCAAAGCGTTGGGTAGGGGAATTAATTATTAACTGATATTGTTGAACACAATTCAATAAGTCATTTGCTCGTGTTCATCTCACCCCCCCCCAAAAAAAAATGTCATATTTCCAGCACTAACAGATAGAAAAACATTTATGTTATACGTCATAAAAACTTCTATATAAACGAACAAACAATTCATACGAGTTTTTATAAAGATACATATAACCTTTCTCTAGTAATTCGAATCTACATATACAGAAGATTAACATAAATATTACACAACACTTCTTAAGATGTGCATGACAAACATTAGGCTTGGAATCTGAAAGATGTGTGTGTGTATATGAGTAACAGAATTCAGAAACACGTACACTTCGAAACAAAGAAGCTGGAGAAACGAAAATCATATTTATTACATCAATTCCCAAATGACCGAGTTACGTTTAAAAATTTCATTTATTTCCACCAGCTTGGAAATAATCTCGAATCCGATGATATAAGAAAACAGAACCGTTGATAGGATGGAAACATAAAACAGGCTAGCAAACAGATCTAACATAAATCATATTTACGTACAAGCACCAGTCTATATTATTGTTTCAAACACAACTACTGAAAAACTTTGAAAGTGACCTCATTCCACATGCACAAATTTCGATAAGCAACCAGACACTTTAAAAACCGGTTTGTTGTTAAACACAAAGCTACACAATGAGCTCTGCCCACCGTGGGTATCGAAACCAGAATTTTGGCGTCATAAACCTGTAGGCTTACCACTGAGCCACTTCCTATCAGAGCAAGCTACATATTTAAGGCAAAACTACAAAATCAATCTGATAATTAATATACCTATAAGCATATATATATTTTTCTGACATTCGTACTAATAAAGATTGCAATGCACTGTTTCCTCAGTTCGGTATCTTACATATGAGACAAAAGACCAAGTCTGAAACACCTAGGGTACAAATATAACTGTGCCTTATTTTAAACTACTCACCAGAGAGCATCCATACAGCATCAGCCCGACATTACAAGGACTTTGTCTAGCTATTCGAACCGAATAACAAAATTGATTGTTACTTCTTTGAGTTTAACACACCCACAGCTGAAAGTGAAGACCTAGCTCAGCGACACTGCGTTACGAACTTTCGACCTGCAGGTCCGTGACCCAATACGCTAACCACTAGACCAATCATGGCCCAAAGAATTAAATTAACGTACAAATGAAATAATGTATGTAATGTGAAAATGTTCGATAATGCACTACCCCAAAGGCCAAAATATTAAATGGATGACCTGATGAAGTTATAAAGATATAAAAGAGATATGTGTGCCTAGACGGAAAAAAAAAGTTTGCAATTCAA